TAAGTCAAACCACTGAATACATAGTTTCTCTCTATTTCAAGATAAATGGCTTTTCCATTTTAAAATCCATAAAGTAGCATGTGTCGTGTGTGTATGACTGTAGGACTGGCCTGTGACCCAGAAGAGAAAGTCCTGTCCCACCCTGCTCTACAGGAGGAACTGAACAACCCCAAAAATGGAGAGTCAGCCCACAAACACCTTCGACAGCAGGTACAGTCACAGACCTCTGACAGCAGGTACCTCTGACAGCAGGTATCTCTCACAGCAGGTATCTCTCACAGCAGGTACCTCTCACAGCAGGTATTAATGTGTCTGGAGTGGACCAAGAGAAGTGTCTTGCCCAGGGACACAACCATAGGCACTGTTGAAGTTTACAGCTCCCTGTATTGTGCAGGCATCCATCCTGGCTCACATGGCTGCACTGGGGCTGCTTCGAGGGGGGCGCTGTTTTGTGGAGTTCGGAGCAGGCCGAGGCAAACTGTCCCACTGGATCCACGAAGCTCTCAGGGGTCAGCCGGAGCTACAGGTGCTGCTAGTGGAGAGGAGCAGCACACGCTTCAAGGCAAGATCCCCCACTCCTCACCCTTACCTGGCTGTAATCCACTCAGGGCTGCAGTCTTCTGTTTTTAATAGTCTTTGGACTTGAATAGTTTTTAAATCTAGCTTAGATAAAATCTTCTTTTTGATCAACAAAAAGTATTTTTGAGTTATGTAGAATTATGAGGTGTGGTGTCACTCCCTATTGTGTCACTCCCTATTGTGAGCGTTACTTGCTTTGTGTTGTGCAGGTGGATGGTAAACATGCAGATGGAGAAGAAGAGTTTGAGCGCCTCCAGGTGGATATCCAACACCTGGACCTGGGTAAGGGCCTCACCAAACCGGGCTCCGGGGCTCTGGGGCCCCGGGGGCCTTGGGCTCTCGGGTTCTCAGATGGAAGTCTAATGATGTTTGTTCCCTCAGGTGGAGTGCCTCTGCTCAGGGAGAAGGGGCTGCCTGTGGTGGGAGTGGGGAAACACCTGTGTGGAGCAGCCACAGGTTTGTCTACACTTTTAGAGGCAGGTTTATTGAGGTAGTTTATGGAGACAGTGTACTATTACTTTATCTGTTTGTGGAGAAGTACTACCATATTTTCCGGGCTATTAGACGCACTCTTAAGCGTCTAACCCAATCAAAAAACGGCCACGCTCCCGGCAAGCCAGAGCACCCCATACACGAATCCACTCGGGTGTCTCTGCACGACTTCAGTAAACTACAAATCCGCACCACCCGCAGAACACACAAACACACACGGAGCAGACAGCGACCGCACAGTGAAACACACCCACAGACACACTCATCACTCCACGCCGACGAGGAACAGAACGGAGGAACGATACCAAAAAAGCGAGTCCAGTGTGCCTTTCTGAGCCACAACTGAACAACTGAGTCACTGTGAACACGCTGACAATCCGTTGGTCCCAGACAGCACCCTCCCTACACGCCACAACTGAACAAAGCCCAGAGTCACTGTGAACACCACAAACAAACAAAACCACTCACCCATCACATTGCTGTGTTTCCTTTAAAGTCCGGTGCGGTTTATTTGTGAAAAAACTTTGAAAAGAGACCATTTAATGACAGTGCACCTTATAATCCTGAGCGCCTAGTAGCCCGGAAATATGGTAGTACTTTGTCCTAAATGTCACTGTAGTATTTTTTTAAAATGACTGAACAGAAGAGATCGCTCAACTAGACTACCTGCCAATTAAAATAAACTGCATTAAAATCTCTACAAAGGAACATTTGAGGCCATAATTTTAGTACATTTATTTTATTATAGGTGTTTTTATTTATGAGAACTATCTTTTTAAAAAAAAAAACTCGGGCTCACCTCTCCATAGACCTGACTTATAACTTGGCATGGAAACAGATTAAACACTTGCTTACCTTAGGGTGCGTTCATACTCAGGACTCACTTTTGCTGTTGTCTTTTCAGATCTGGCTCTGCGCTGTTTGTTGGAAAAACCCCACTATCATGAGTCTAAAGAACCTCCAACCAAACGACTCAAATCCACTGACCCCTGCCCAGAAGCAGCTCAGACCTGTTCCCCTGCAGAGCCTTGCGGTCCTGCCCTGGCGGTGGTCGGCCTCACGGTGGCGCTGTGCTGTCACCACCGCTGCCAGTGGAGGCACTACGTGGGCAAAGACTTGTTCAGACAGAGAGGGCTCGGAGCGGAGGATTTCTCAGCCTTCTGCCGCATGTCCAGCTGGGCCACATGTGGACTCAGAGCCACCAATCACAACACTTCAGCTCCAAATCAGACCAATCAGAATGAAGAACGCCAGGATGCACCCGATCAGAAAGTCGAGGAGGAAGAGCATGAACCAGCAGAGGAGACAGATGCTGTGAATGGGTAAATAATATACATTTTCACATAGATCAATTGTATTATTTAGCAGTTAAAGCGGCTGTTCCATATTTTCACTGTTTTAGTGTGAAACAGAAGTAGTTCATTTAAAACAGTCTGCTGTGGGTCCAGTTCTTCCTCACTTACCTTATGCATTCTGAGCAGCATTTTTCACAACCTTCAGGGGTCAGAATGTTAACATTAACAACAACTAGCATGCTAAACATGCACTTCAGAATTATTGGACATTAAAACAGGTTATAATTCAATGGAGACCGTACACAGCTGACTTCTGTATGTTTGTCTGGTGTGTTTGTGGAACGTACTGTAGTACACATAGAAAAAGGAGGAGAGAGGTGATTGGTTCCAAATGCAGAATGAGTTTGAGGCACGAAACTTGATTTGTCGTGGTGTGCTGCAGGTTCCTGAGCCCATGGGAGCGCAAGCGTGTGGGCCGTTTGTGTAAGCTGCTCATAGACTGTGGGCGACTTCACTACCTCCAACGCAAAGGCTTCACTGGACGTTTGAGCAGATACGTGAGCTCTCAGGTCACCCTGGAGAATGTCCTGCTCACTGCTGTCCCCAATGCACATCCAGACGCGCCAACAGACGCGCCAACAGACACGCCAAAAGACGCACAGGAAGACGCACAGGAAGACTCACACTCAGACGCACAACAGGAAGACTCACACTCAGACGCACAACAGGAAGACTCACACTCAGACGCACAACAGGAAGACTCACACTCAGACGCACAACAGGAAGACTCACACTCAGACGCACAACAGGAAGACTCACAATCAGTCCTGTCACAGCCAAAACACACCACAACTCCCAAGACCCAAGACCCAACACCCAGAGACACACCTCTGTGAGGTGCACTAACAGATCCAGCGTGCACACTACCAGAGCCAAAAGCATGAACTGAACTTGGATGAGACAGAATCAGCCAAACAAAAACTATTCACTTTTTTATTGTACAATTTAAACTTTGTTTTTGGTACTTTAAAGTCTGCTGTAGAAACACATTTACTAGGGGCTACTCCTTCCTGCAGTAAAGGTCCTATATTACACAAAGTTGACTGCTGTGAGGTTTAAGCCATGTTATAATGTTGTTCGCTCCTCATACATACTGTATCTGGACTTGTTTTGTTTCATTCACATATGTTCGAGTAACCTTTTGTTAGTCTGTCTACATCTCAAAAAGCTCAAAATTTGATCGTTTTTAAGTTACTGTCTCCTTTTATCTTTAGTTCAGTAGAGATTGATCATTCCAGGGCTGAAATGATCCAAGTGATTCAAGAGAAGGTCTGTGGAGTTTAAAATGACAGTGCACCACTTCTTGTATCACCACATGACATCCATCACATGGTGGAACAGAGTGTTGTTTTTTTGAGAACTCATCTTAAATATCCAGGGTCTGTGAGTTAAACATGTTTGAATGAAAATAAATACAACCCCGGGTCTATTTGTGATGAGGAAATGACAGATAATGGAATTTTGAAAGAAAACAATGGAAACATACTTATATTGACATCCAGTAGTGTTATGTTACATTTTTCTAATACAAATGTATGTAATAATTAGAGTGACAGAGGGATGATTAACTGTAGATAAAAGCTTAAATTACATTTGTGAGTATTAGCAGCCAAATCAAAAGGAGGAGGAACACTCAGTGCCTCAGGGTGTTTTCACACAGTCTAAAAAAACTTTGTGCACCTGCTGCAGTGAACAGCTAAAAGCACTGGACACAGATGGTCTCAGAGGGACTCCTCTCAGTCAGGGCAAAAAAGTCATCATTTGTGCAAATCAAATGTTAAAAATCCCAAACTAGTTCTTGGAGAATGTGTATGGGAATCCCCACACTTTTATTCTTATCTTCTATCACTTTTATCTTGTGAGAGATTTGTGGTTGGGAACTTGTGGACTAGATCAGGACTTTCATCTAAATGTTTTTGTACATTAAATGAATGTTGTTCTATCTCCCATAGAGCAGCGAATCCCAAAGGTCTTTATTTTATTTGAGTTGAAGGCCACATGGAGATGAGGCATTTCACATGCCAAAGCTTTTGTTTGGCAACGTTTCAATAAATGCTCCAATCTGTGCTCATGTGATTTTTGATGTTTCTATTTTTGACTTGATATGCAGCTCTCTTTTTAGGGGTGTTCTTCCACTCAGTTCTTTTATAAAAATACCACAAAGGGATCATGTCAAACCTGACTTGAGTGCCAATTCCAGCACATTCTAAAAACAGGGGTAGAGCACATTTAAACAAGGAGTCAGCGTGACACAATAATGGTTCCATAAAAAGCACTGGCGTCCTATGAAAATCATTTATTTTTACAACAAGCACATTTTAATCTTGGAAAATCAGTATTACTGAAAAAAAAATGCTACAAAACATGGTACATTTACATTGAACAGGCTCCTTAGTAACAATAGCATGTGCTTCTATAAATACAGGGCTCAGTGGCATTCACAGTACTGTGCTCCACAACAGCTGAGCTCTACTGGTCAGGGTCATCACCAGGCTCTGAAACACACAGACACACGTCACATTCACATATAACAGCTTTTATGTATGAGTGACTATATGAATGTGTAAGTAGTTGTTATTGTGGATTATGTGTGAAAATGGATGGAAATAGATGATAAATTTCAACAGTGTCAGTACCTTGAGGTGGCTTCCCTCTTCAAAGGCAGCTTATCTGTGTTCTGTGTTAATAAATGGAGGTTAGGCGCAAACATGGGGACAGATGTCATGAGTTACATGGTGAGATGTCAGTACAAGATTCTCCTACAGGACCACACATGAACTATTCAGATTGTTTTTCATAGAGCTGACCCTGAACTGTGTCTCCAGATACGAGATAAACGTGTTCTAATCAAATATAGTGTTTACTGATAAGCTTTTACTGTTTTGGTTCAAGATGATTATCCAATCAGAAAGCAGAATGAGCCTCACATGAGTCTCTTGTTTGCACTGCCAGTTTCAGCTGAAACTCCAGTGTGTTTAAATTTAAAATGTCTCTCTGATCTGAACAGTCACGCCCTAAACCCCAGCACCAGCACCAGTCATGAGTCAGTGCTAGTGCAGCCTCTGCAGGTCAAAGAAGGGAATTCTGGAGGGTCTGAACTTCACATGAGGCCTGTTCTGTCCATATAATGAAAATGAGAGACACTTGGATGTGTCTCTGTCTGCAGGTGAAGGATCTGGAGACACAGGATCAGTTGTGATTGTAACATAGTTTTTGGAACGTTAAGAGCACAGACTCTGCAGTTCCTTCAGCAAGTAAAGTTATCTTCAGAATGTTCTCTGATGTTGAACTGTCCAGAGCAGTGGGGAAAGTTCTACATACATATACATACAGTATATGATCCTCTTTCAGTGCATAGATGGGGATTACCCCGTACTGTGTAAACTCTCTCATGTATCTGCATGTCTGCAAGTTTAACCTTCTGTTGTGTTGCTGATGTACTTACTCTCTTGTCCAAATCATCTCCATAAATACCGGTAAATATGTATACTATACAAAATGTTATTAAAATTGCCCATTCCCCATAAGTTAAAATAAAAGTGTTGGAGGTTTTCTGAGGGAGTCTCCAGAGCTCATGAGTGTGTAAGCAGCAGTCAGCTTCAGTGACAGTGTTAGTTCAGTTACAGTGATGGGTGTACCAACAGTAGGCATTAGGGCAGTTGCATGGTGATTGTAGTACTAACAGTAGACACAGTACATGTTGGTGGTTGTAGTACTAACAGTAGGCACAGTACATGTTGGTGGTTGTAGTACTAACAGTAGGCACAGTACATGTTGGTGGTTGTAGTACTAACAGTAGGCACAGTACATGTTGGTGGTTGTAGTACTAACAGTAGGCACAGTACATGTTGGTGGTTGTAGTACTAACAGTAGGCACAGTACATGTTTGTAGTACTAACGGTATGCACAGTGCACATTGAGGGCGGCGTAGGCTCGTTTCCTGGCCTCGTGGATGTACAGTTGCATGAATTCTTTGCCGTACATCTCCCTGTCGTCCTCCTCTTCCTCCTCCTCTTCTTCAGGCTCCTTTGGTTTTCTGGGAGGCAAAGTCACGTCCAGAGTCAGGGGGTTGTCCCGGAAATTCACAAATCTAAACAAAACAAGCACAAATGAGTTTATGTAGAAAATGTCTCGGAGCTTGTTGGTGCTCAGGATCAGTGTGTCCAGGCTTTAGTAGTAGTAGTAGTAGTAATAGCAGCTGTAGTAGTAGTAGTAGTAATAGCAGCTGTAGTAGTAGTAGTAGTAGTAATAGCAGCTGTAGTAGTAGTAGTAGTAATAGCAGCTGTAGTAGTAGTAGTAGTAATAGCAGCTGTAGTAGTAGTAGTAGTAGTAGTAGTAGTGGTAGTAGCAGTAGTAGTAATAGCAGCTGCAGTAGTAGTAATAGCAGCTGTAGTAGTAGCAGTAGAAGCAGTAGTAGCAGTAGTAGTAGCAGTAGTAGTACCTGAGGCGGCTCATGTCTTCCATCAGAGGGGGTATGTCTCGGAGCTTGTTGCTGCTCAGGACCAGTGTGTCCAGGCTGACCATGAGGCTGATGCTGTCGGGGAGTTTCTCCAGTTCATTTCTCTGAAGCCACAGAGTGTGCAGCTTCTCCATCCTCAACACACACACATCAAATGTCATGTTCTTTCTTTTCAATGACAAACAGCATGCAATGTCTGTCTCTGTGAGACTGGTCCCATGTGTCTCGTCTTATTCCCTCTCTCTCTGTCCTCTGTCTCTCTGTCCTAAGTGTGTGTGTGTGTGTGTGTGTGTGATCCCACCTGTAGATGTCGTGGGGCAGTTGTGTGAGTCTGTTGCCCCCTATGTCGAGCCACTCGAGTGCTGGCAGCTCCAGCAGACACTCAGGGAACTCACTGAAGTCGTTCATGGACAGGTCCAGGTGCTGCAGCCGCTGCAGGCTCTTCAGCTGCACACAGCACACACACAAAAGAAATATGTGCTGTTTATTTGTGAGTTAGGCTATGGCAACTGTCCTTCACTGTTATAGCAATTAAGCAATTCAAATAAATATTATAGCTTTTGAATGTAAAAAGGTTCTCACAAAATCCTTCAAGTCAGAAGAGAATCATTTGCCTGAAAGCCCTGAATATCAGGATGTTAATCTCAGTGACAGTGTAGTCAGTCTTGGAACTGTAGACAGTATATATCTCATTGGAAGCACACATTCACACATACAACAGCAAAATGTGTGTGTGGTCAAAGTGAGGGAGCAGGCATGTGTCTATACTGAAAACACTGGTCTTCAAATTCTAAAAGACTGGACTGCTCACTAACATGATCACATGATGTTGCTTTGATATTGTTGCTGGGTGAAGGAGGAAACACAAAAACATGCCCATATAAATGAACAATACACCAAGACGAGGGGGCCTTTTTACACTCACACACCCGGGATAGTGTCCTGCAGAAGCCTGAGGTAGACTTCAAACTGTCTATGAAAACAAACTCAGCTGTGGTCTGAAAAAAGAATCTTTTAGAATGAATCATCAGAAGGCTCTGTACTTCACTTTCGCAGTCAATTCAGTCACACCTGGTGCCCCCTTACCCTGGTCTGTGGTACCTGGAGGGTCTGGTCTGGTCTGGTCTGTTGTACATGGAGGGTCTGGTCTGGTCTGGTCTGTGGTACCTGGAGGGGCAGAGCTCTGAGGTCCCGGTTCATGGCCAACTCCAGTCTCTCCAGACTCTCACACTGGCCCAGCTCCTCTGGGACACTGCTCAGTCTGTTATAGCTGAGGAGGAGCTCTCTCAGGCGACTCAGCTCACCTGTAAAAACACAACAACATGACAACACAACAACATGACCGAAACTACACCATCACTATACAAGAGACCCCAGCACATACATCACAACACCCAGTGTGACTGTGCAAGCAGAGAGGGCTCCAGGCTCCTGTAACAATCAGCTGAAGCATCAGAGAAAAGTCGTGGTAATGTGAAATGAAATCACTTCTACCTTCATCCTGTAACTTCTTCAGTCAGATTTAAGAAAACCTATTTCTGACGCAAGAGTAACAGTCAGATCTGTGGAGAAGTGGCCCCACTCACAGTAAGAATACATTTTAACGGTATTTTGATAATAAAAACACCAAAATGAATAGTTTGATGTCATAATGTGGAACAGTGTTTCTCAAACTGTGGTACATGTACAAGTGGTGGTATGTGAGCTCCCTCAGGTGGTACGCAGATTCCTCTGCAGATCAAGTATTTTGTGAATTTACATTGAGTCCGTGTAATACACATTTGGGTTAGTCCTCGTTTAGGACCAGAATAGCAGTTGTGTAACTCTAATTTAGCCCTAGTTTAGTCCTAAAATAGTCCTGTTACAGACCTGGTTTAGATCTGGTGGTACTCGGATGGTCATATAGTTTCTTAGGAGGTGCTTGCCATGAAAAGTTTGAGAACCACTGCTTTGCATAATCTCAGAGTTAGCCAGGAGGCTAATTTCCATTTGAAGGCCTTTTTCCAGATGAACAGAAGACACTCCGGAAAGATCTGGACCATGCACCCTCAAATACCCAGTGACCCCAGTGACCATCATCTTTAAAGCTCTAACATGGAGGATGGGTCAAATGCAGAGGACTGACCGATCTCCTTGGGTATGTGTGCGATAGCGTTGCGGGACAGGTCGATGACGAGGAGGTTCTGGAAGTTGTGGATGAAGGTAGGCAGGGCCTGCAGACCTGTGCGGTGCATGTGCCACTCCTGCACCTGGACCAGCTTCACCAGACACGAGGGGAGGCTCCTCCACTCCTCCTGCTCCAAACGCAGCACCAGACGCCCGTCTTCTGTCTGCAGCTTCTGTTTGAGGCGAGCCAGGAGCGCACGCTCCTCCCACACGCCCACGCCCACTCTGCGCACACACACACAACACACACACACGTGTCACAAACAACACACACAACACACACACACACGTGTTACAAACAACACACAAAACACACACACACGTGTCACAAACAACACACACAACACACACACGTGTCACAAACAACACACAACACACACACACATGATGAGTGCTTATCTAACAGACCAGTGCATTTTGGATGGACGATCCTGTGTACTCTTCTTCATTCTGCACCAGCGTGCTGAAGTGTTCACTTAAACTTTAAACTCATCACAGAGGCTCAGCATCACTAGAGATGGACTTGAGTGACCTGTACAATATGACTGTGTTAGGGTTAGGGGTTAGGGGTCAGGGGTCAGGGGTAAGGGCTACTCACGACCAGAGATGGAGTGGGCCTGAACAGCCCTTATAGCCCTTTTCCTTCAACGGGCACTCACTGCTCTTTACGTCACACATTCACACACATTCACTCAGCACACTACTGGAGGTGAGGTGGGTTGTCTTGCCCAAGAACATGATGAGCTGGATTCAAACCACCAGTCTACCAGCTGAGCTATTAAGGGGTATGACGCACCAACAAGAACAGCTCACCTGTTCAAAAACAATATAAGTAGGTCAGAACAATAGAGTGTACGCGCTCTGGGAGTCCCAGCATGCACTTTGCTGTAGGCCAGTAAAAAGGCTCTGTGAGTATGAGAGTTATGTGAGGGGCCACACATGACAGCAGTGACTGCAGCTCACAGGCTGCTTTCTCTTCTTCTCACTACTCACTGTATAACACAAAAGGCCTACACAAACGAGTCAGATATAATGTTGTTAAAACTGAATAATTCTGATTCTAGGTTGACATTTTGGGCAAAGTTTAATGCCAAACTGTGATAAAGCAAAGTGATAGCAGACCTCACCTGTGCACTGGCCTGTCTCTACGAGCTCCTCTGCTCCTCCTCTACTCTTCTGTCCTCACCTGTTTGTCGGTCGGTCTTTGGGGGTCCTCACCTGTTTGTCCGTCGGTCTTTGGGGGTCCTCACCTGTTTGTCGGTCGGTCTTTGGGGGTCCTCACCTGTTTGTCGGTCGGTCTTTGGGGGTCCTCACCTGTTTGTCGGTCGGTCTTTGGGGGTCCTCACCTGTTTGTCGGTCGGTCTTTGGGGGTCCTCACCTGTTTGTCCGTCGGTCTTTGGGGGTCCTCACCTGTTTGTCCGTCGGTCTTTGGGGGTCCTCACCTGTTTGTCGGTCGGTCTTTGGGGGTCCTCACCTGTTTGTCGGTCGGTCTTTGGGGGTCCTCACCTGTTTGTGGGCCGGTCTTTGGGGGTCCTCACCTGTTTGTGGGCCGGTCTTTGGGGGTCCTCACCTGTTTGTGGGCCGGTCTTTGGGGGTCCTCCTCCTCTGCTCCTCCTCTCTGTCTTTGCTGATCTTGAGGATGCGCGTCTCCCACAGAGCTTTAATGGACGACACTGAGCTGCTGACCACCACCATGATGATGATGATGATGATGTCACCGTGACCTCTGACCCCACGGACAATTGCTTCTCCCACAGTCGCTCATTATGCAGAGTGCTCAGATCTCGGACTCACTATGATTAAATGAGCAGAACAGAACTTTTTATTTCTCCTTTTTAAAGGTACAGTATGTAACTTTCTGAAGGTGGCACCTGCACGATTCTACAGAAACAGAAATTTAAAACCATACTTTGGAACATTTGCCATGGAGAGAAATATGTTTTATGTCATACTGTGAAAGATTATAATATAATTAACTATACTACAGAGACACAAGCCCAATCAGAGTAAAGACATTTGACATATTTGTAGTAAAAGTTACATACTGTAGTTTTTTCTACGTTTATGAATAAGACGATACAGCAGACTCCCCTTAATCTGTTGGCACTGACTGATGACACACTCTCATGTATCTTAAAAAAAGTATTATTTTCCAGTTCCAGTCTAAGTGATTTTGTCAAAGTGATTCCTAAAATTAACTCTACAGATCTTTTCAAATACCATGTCATGAATGTTCCCACTCCTGGAATACAGGCTTTACTTTTCAATAAATAAATAAATCTTTCAAAAGTAATGTGATTTTTGATTTGAAGTTATTATCAAAATCTCCATTGAAATGGCTAATGTAAACAGTGGTGTCATGTGGTGCAGGGTGAACAGTCAGGTCCCTGTCAAGGACATTAAAGGTGCAGTAGGAGGGTCCCCAGCAGAAAAGGGTCAGTAGCACCCACTTTAGTGCCCTCAAAAGCCTGCAGTGTTGGAGTCCCTGACTGTTCTCATGTTCTGCCACATTCCCTGGCTCACTCTTACATACAGGATTTCAATGCACACACTTACAGTATTTACATTCACCATGACAACAAGTTTCTATCGACAGGAAGTGAGTAAACGCTGCATTATCAAGTAAACAGAAGTATTTTGGAGTGTCCTCACCTCACAGCTCCACGTAGGTCTCCTCCATGATGTGTGAAATCTGACCCCAGACCAGTCTCAAAATTAGCCCCTGGTCACATGACTGCAGGGGCTTTTACTCTGGGATCAAATATAGTTTTTAAATATAGGTTTTTATGTCATTTATGGTTCAGAACATGTAAACATTTCTTCAGTGTGAGTTTCTGTAATAAATTCACACTTTTATTATTCTTTGTGTAATTGTAATTTAATTTAATGTTTTATCAAATGGGAGGAATTCTCACATTGTAAAGTGTCCTGATGAAAGGTGCAGCTGATTTGCTGGTTTGTCTCACCGTGTGAGTTATGAGCACAAATGTTGGTGCAAATGCAGACGACCACAGGCTGCTCACAGAAATATGCTCCTAATCTGTGAGATAAGACTCCCGAATACCAAATAGCAGCGAGAGAGGCCTTCACTGACCCGGGGGAAACCAGACACTGCACACACAGACCATGTGCAGGTAACTGCTGGTGAACTGGTTGGATATTGGATATTGGATATTGGACATATATAAAGACATTTCACTTGTAATACGTATCACTGATTTTATTCAAACAACTTTTGACGTCTTCATAATCCTCCAGGGTAAATATCATAAGACTGTAATCATTAAAAATCATACTGAGCTGATTTAGTGCATGTTTGTGAATTCAACACTCATTCTACTTGTAATGTACAGATGTGGATAAAATTGTTGGTAACCAACTGGTAAGGAAAGAAAAATCAACAATGGTCAGTGGTCAATGTTTTGTTTTTTGTTTTTTTAATAATTACTGTCTTGTGATATTTACCCTGGAGGATTATGAAGGTTTCACAAGTTGTTTGAAAAAAAAAATCTGTGATGTAGATTACAAGTTAAATGTCTATAAATGTGTCCAATATCCAATATCCAATATCAAACCAATTACAGCAGACATGTCCAAACTATGGCTCGTGGGCCAAATGCAGCCCCCAGACAAATTTTTCTTGGCCCTCAGGCTTCCAGGTAAATTGGCCCAAATTACCTTGCATCAATTAAAAATGAACTTTTTACTGCAAGTTTTTTTTTTTATTTACTTGATAAAACTAAGTATTAAATATTACGTGTGTAGTTTTAAGGATCTTAGCATGAAGAAAGACTGATGGCTCATGTTAAACATGCACATATTTCAGTTATTCACTGTATTGAGCACCAGTCTACAGCCCTTGATCGGCCGTCTGGTTTGTCTGTGTTTAGATATGTGGCCCTTGATGAAAAAAGTTTGGACAGTTTGAATTACAGCTACGAGGAAGCGGATTAGTCACCTTTACTTTGTGACTTCAAATAATGCTCAGGATTTTTAGTGTATACTCATGTTTAGTGTATTGTCAGTGTGAATATGACGCTAACAGACTGAGCAACATAAGCATCATGGAAATAGAAAGTTAAAATCATACTTTGGAACATTTTCCATGGGGATAGATATGTTTTAGGCCATACTGTGTAAAACTGGAGCCAAAGGGACGTTTTCATGGAAAGGAGTAGTAAGAGGCCAGGCCAAATAAGAGTAACGTTTGTGGAGATGCAAGCTCGCCAACAGTAACGTTTTTCTACATTTTTCAGTGCAATAAAAATCCAAAATGAACCAAAAAAAGTGATAATTACCTCCACCAAGGAGGTTATGTTTTTGCCAGCATTTGTCTGTCTGTTTGTTTGTGTGTTTGTTTGTTTGTCTGTTACCAACATAACTCAAAAAGTTATGGACCGATTTTGATGAAATTTTCAGGATTTGTTGGAAATGTGAAAAGGAAGAACTGATTTCATTTTGGGGGTGATCCGGAAGAAATCCTGGATTCTGGATCACTTTGAAATTTTAGTTAACATTGTGGTAAATGGGGCCAAAAAATTAGTTTCTCAATATCTCGGTTAATTATTGACCAAACCCCATGAAATTTGACTCAGGGATGGACAATGGGATCCTCTTTCATATTCCAAAGGCTGATCCGGATCTGATCCAGAAGACTGATTTTATTGCAATTTATATAAAAAATGGGGGTAGTCCTTGGCGGAGGTCTGCGCTCTCTGAGTGCTTTTCTAGTTTTAGTCTATTTTCTGGCTAACAAATAAATACTATGTCTGTAAAGGGACAGGAAACACACTTGTAAACTATTATTTTTAAAGCTACAATCTGAAGGATTTCACTGGACTGAAATGGACTAAATTGCCTGAAACTGATGGAATTCCAATTGTAAAAAGTGTAATCATAAAAATCCATGTATTTAGATTTGTTTTCTGTAAATATCACAATGGCAATCATTACATTTTACATCCATAAAAGACAAAAAAGAACATTTTGACAGTAAACCTTTATTTTCTTGATTTAAAGTCATTCAGCAGTAGTCAAACAATTCACACATGTTGATTTTCAGACTGAAGCCTGAAACAGGAACTACTACTCCCCCAAATACAAAAACACTAATAATTGTAGAATATGTACTTCAGACATGTGTTTCTCACAAATCCAAAAACGTTCATTTTGTCTTCTTATGTATATTAACTTGTTGGTTTGTCTTTATAAAGAACCCAAGAAGTTAGTGTATTTCTTACAGTTTAAATTAAAACATGAGACTAAATGTGTAACAATGACAATGGGATGACACAGGAACAGAAATGACTTAAAAATATAACTGTTGGGGGAAAAAATCGCTAAATATGTGAATAATAATTTCATACCTGATTCGATGCATTCAAAAGTGTAAATTTTAAAAACCATTTCCCATTTGATACATATTCTGGAGTGAGTTTCAACCGAGATTCAACCGTTTTTAATGCTCTAAAATCATGTTGATTGCTACATTGTCTTTCAACCAGAAATTCTAGAGTGATTTTTTTAAAAAGATTGAATTGATCACAAAGAAGACAACAAAGAAAAACACAAATATTTTAGAGTGGAAGAAAAATACAACAAAACAAGACACACACTTTACATTTAAAGAGACTTGTGCGTCTGCCTCACACACTGGTTGTACGCGCTACTTTTGCTTCCTATTTGTATTTGTATTTGTATTTGTGTTTATTTATTTTGTGTTGAGATTCCAAATGCCTGACTTCAGGAAACAAAAGGCCAATACAAATCCCAGTGTGGAGCCTTAACTTTTGTCATGTCATTCTTCTCTGTGCTAAATGAAGAGTTAATCAAACTCCAGTTAAACCTTGTTCAAAGGCATCATGGAAAAGTAACAGGCACACTGCAGAGGACAGGAAGTGATGTGGGCCCGTCTGTCATGTCAGTCCTTTCAAAATAAAGTACAGTACAAACGGGTGCAGATCTCAAGTTGGAACGTGTTTTCACTAGAAGCTCCAAGGAGGCAGGAAGTTACACTTTGATTCTACTGAGTGACTAGTTTTAACCAATTTCTTTACACTACGTCATTGGTTAGTTTGAAAAATTAAAGTGAGTGAGTGAGTTGCAGATTTTTACACCAGATGCCCTTCCTGTAAAAAGAAGCCAAATACAATGGTGATTAGAGTGGGCAGTGGAATCAAATGTTTACTCAAGGCCACAACAAACTGGCTACCATCTGGTTCACAGGTTTATGCTTAACTCATTACACCACCTTTATGAGGAATTAAAATGACTTGAAAAACATTTCTGGAACTAAGCCATCTGCAATCCATGGACATTTGACATATTCCATACAAAGCAATAATCTCACCAAGACAAGTTACAAGTCAGATTTGTGGAGTGGCGACCCTCATAATATGTTTTTCAAGGTATTTTAGGGCAACCACAATGAAATTAAGGCTTTTAAATTGAGGAAAACTAAAATGGCTGCCATCGTAATCCACTTTTTTTTCCCCTATTGTTGACAGTGTAACAAAGAACCAAACTGGACTTCCTCCTCTGCTCCTCATTGGCTCAGGAGAAATGTGAGATCCACAGATTGAGACCAGGTCAAAGTTCAACATCAAGTGGGCTCTTCAGCTTTCAGAAGTTATAATCCCATTCATTTTCCCATAGAAAATGTAAAAAAAAAAAGAGCTAAAAATTATTATTATTATTATTATTATAAATCATTTTTTGTGAGGTCAGGAAGAATGCATTAGCATGCTAGTTGTTGTTAGCTTTACCGTCACAGCAAAACAGTGATGTGTGAAATGTGCTGATCATCTCATCACGACAAATCATTTTGGACCACTGCAAACCATTGAAATAAAAACATTTTAAGGTAGGTTTTAGGTACAGCACCTTTAACTCCAGAATAACTGAAGAAAAGGACATGCGCCTGAAACCAAAGCAGGAAATGCAGATTTTCTAATAAAACGATTGCATGTTGATACTATTCTATAGAACAAATGAATGGAATTTTGCTTCCAGAACTGGCAATGGGTGGGCCCTGTTGAGCTGTGCAGTCCCCTCTGACAGCAGGGGCTGATGGGAGATGTAGTCTGTTCTATTTGAGGTGTAGCAGCATTCGCTCAGGCTGCTCTAGGTACTCCCTCCACATGTTGGAGAAGCGACACATGGTAGCCCCGTCGATGATGCGGTGATCAGCTGACCAACTGACCTTCATGATGTGGGCGGGTGTCACCTGCCCCAAGGAGTCGAACCGCGGCAGCACCTGTCACACACACACAAGTCAACATCAGCATGAAAGGGATTCATTGTTTTATGGGAACATGCGAATTATAAATGAAACAATACTGTGAATTAAAGCAGACCTTTTCTTTTCTTTTAACCAGGTTATAGTTGTTTTTTAATCACCCTTTACTCATCTGAAGTTATATTTGGAGCTAATTGTGCATGTTTGAGTAATCTTTAATCACTTAAAATAAATGAAAAAAAAAACCAAAAACATCCACTGCTTGGAAGAGTGATCTGTATCTGAGTCGACTCTTTGTTGTGATGTTTACGGCGACGTCAGCTCCCAGTGGCCACTGCAGTTTTCTAACACAGAAGCCAGCACACTTGTTTCTTTTACTAAGTAGTTTTAGATGAATATTGCATTTTATATATTTTAAATGGGCAAATTATAACATAATGAACCATGGGTGTCATAGATTAGAACTATAGCACCCACAAAGCACTAGAGGTTTTCTTTCAGTAAAACACTCTTTGAAGGACGTACACTAGCTAAAAAGACAAGGATCAGAGTGTGTGTTCTCTGGAGAGTCAGTGTGGAAATAGTGTGTATGGATAGTATGTTAGTAAGTTCCTCTCCCTTGCCCCTGAGCTCTGTCCAGCTGGCACACCCAGGCCAACATTAAGAATTGGTTCTTAAATAGGACCTGTGGAGCTTGTGTGTGCTCTGTAGTTATAGAATAAACACCTGTTGATCATTAGGTTATAATTTGGACATATTTAATCACAATATTCATCTAAAACAACTTAATAAAAGAAACTGGTCAACATTGTAGAGCTGAATCCCGCGTAACCTTTTACAGTACGTCACTGTAAAAATCATCACAACAAAGTGCTGCATGCTGCCAGCCCTTGGTGTGGAGAGAAGCACATCACACTAACAAGTAGTTTTTTTGTGCTAAAATGGTTACACGACGCTGCCGAATCCTACCAGTATTAGAAAATAAAACTGGAGAAGGAAGTGTGTGTGGGTGTGTACAGGTGGAGCTGAGTATAGGGGAAGATCGGAACAAAGATGCTTTAAATACAGGAAAATAAAGAGGACTCAAACATGCACAAAACACTCTGAATACAACTTCAGTGGGTCAATGAGAAAAACTACTTGTAACGTGGTTAAAAGCTCTGAAAAGTACATTTTGGACAGAATGGTTGCATCTACATGATACGTGAGTGTGGGTGTGTGTGGCTCTCATGTTAACAGGATCCCCGGCTGCTTTGACCTGCTGCTCTTACATGATTAACGTTGGCTTCAGTTATAAATACACAATACCAAAAAACTCAAACAAATATGTTCGTTTGTAGTATTTTTTTTTTTTATATATATATATAAAAAAAGGACAAAATACGATCACTACTAGCCATATTTGTTCATGTAGCAAAGCATTCTGGGTAGTGTCGTCACAAGGTTGTTGTCTTCTGTCGTCGGATACAACTTGTGCTTAAGCTCAGTTTTGCTAACGTCAATTGATAAAAAGCTACACAGCACAGCTTTTGGTTGGAATTTCCAGTCTGGAACCAGGACTGAAACAGAACTGAACCAGGACTGAGTGTGTGGACGAGCCCGGAGGTGCACCCGCGCAAACCGTCAGGTGACCGCAGGTGAAACGGACCAGTGCAGAGTTTCACGCCCCACGAGGCAAAGCAGAGCCGTTGCCCGATCAAGCTTTGGAGACACCTGCTCCACGAGCTCAGGCCTCTTACTCTACTCAATTTAGCTTACAACAGCACTTGTTGCAGGCACCATTGATTGTGACAAGCAACCACTTGACGATACTACCCAGAATGCTTTGCAACGTAAACAAATATGGCAAGCTATTACTGATCGTATTTTCTCCTTTTTTATATAAAAAAATACTACAAATGAATATATTTGAGTTTTTTTGGTATTATGTACTTATAACTGACGCCAGCGTGAATCATATAAGAGCAGCATTTCAAAGCAGCCGGGTATCCGACTTAAGACCACACACTCTGCTCACTGTACCTGGATTTTTCCTAGAGCTCCAATAGCGACCTCTGGAGGCAGGATGACAGGTTTAGCATATGTCCCTCCAATCTGCACAAAGAAAAAAGAAGGTTACAGAGCACCCTGCATATGTGGGCCTCACTTTAGGGCTGAAACTTTTATTATTATTCTACATTATATTATTTTAGTAGCCTAGTAATCAGTGGTTATATTTTCAATATGTTGACTTGTCAAATGATTATTTCTATTGCACACTTTTTAATTAATTTATTTTTTTATCAAATTAAGTTTATTCATTATTAAGTTTTATCATGGCATACCGAGCCGATGTTGGACAGAGTGAAGGTCCCTCCGGTAAGGTCCGAGGTGCCCAGCTGTCCGGCCGCTCCCAGACTCTGCAGCCTGTTGAGCTCCTGAGCGATCTCCAACACACTCAGCACCTGCACATTCTTCACATTGGGCACCAGCAGCCCCTGAGCTGTGTCCATGGCCAAGCCGATGTTATGAGAGGCCTGTACACAGAACATCAGTCCAGTCTCACAGTGTCACCAGGGACGTTTGGACAAGGGCAAGTGTGCAAGCGCTTATTAAAGCAACTGTAGGCCTATCTTAAACATAAACCATTAAAGCATGATGGGAGCTGTAGCCTACCTTATAGGTGATGTTCTGGCAGGCTTCGTCCACGGAGGCGTTGAGGATGGGGAAGTGCAGTAGACCCAGTGAGGCGGCCTGGAGCAAAGAGAACATTTAGCCCAGCGGACCTCCACAGTCCGGTCTAGTCCCTACATGCTGAGGATCTGTGACTGTACCTTGATGAAGAAGGGCATGTAGCTGAGCTTGATTCCTTGGGCTGCGGTGAAGGTCTGGAGTTCTTTGCGCAGCGTCACCAGGCGGCTCAGGTCCACCTCATCACAGTAGCCAAAGTGAGGGATCTTCAGAGCAGCTGTCATTGTCTTCACCATCGCTTTGTGGAAACCTGCATTTAAAAACACACATGCAGCTTTACATTTACCATCAACAAGTTACACAACAAAGCTCACTCATTTAGAGTGATCAGAGAAGTGAGGCGAGCCCTTGCACGTCACTGACATGGCTCGGTGTACTTCTTCCTAGAAAGGCCTTGTATTTAGTGTGCGTGTGTGTGCGTGTGTGTGTGCGTGTGTGTGCGTGTGTTTTGAGCATGGTACGGAGCCTCTGTTTAAGTGCAGTGTCCCCTCCCTCCTAAAGTCCTATAGATTATTTGTTTATCAGCACAGCAGATGCACGCGCAGCCTGAGAAAGCACCACTGTCTCTGCGGTTAATATGAAGTTGCAGCATTAGAGATGCTGTCAGCGCACTACAAAGGTATACCATATACAAAGGTACACCATGTGATGAAATTAGATCTGCTGCTAAACATTAGTGAATGGTCTCAATGACATATGCATTAAATGTAGGTGAGTGGGTAAATGACAAGAAGAAATAGGCCAAACTTCATAGCGGGGCAGCCTGAAATCTTACAAGACATTGACATGATACATGACAGAGGCTCTTTCTGGCCTGCAGAAAGCTTTACTAAATGGATTACTAAATGGATTCTTGTGAAACCATGTTAGAATGCTGTCATCTCATCCAAAAAAGACCTGGAGCCGTGTTTTGTTTCATTCACACATTTGATTAATCCCTTATTGGTCTGGCTACATCTCCAAAGCTCAAAATGCTACGTTCCTCCTGGTGATGTCATGAAGCTGTCGTTTTCAAGTGAAGAGCTCCTTTTCAAAATCACATTGGAGCAGTTCCTGTATCATCACATGACATCACAAGGTGGAATAGAGTGTTTTCTGTTTGAGAGAAGAACAGTGTGTGTTAAACATGTGAATGAAACAGAACACAACTCCTGGTCTGTGTGTGATGAGGAAACATTATAACATAGATCAGAAAATAGCAGTACATGTGCCCCTTAATGGAGGAAAGGGATTTTTCAAGTAAAGCAAATCAACCAGTCAGCCGTAATGAGATAGAGACGAGAGAGACATAAGCTGTACTTCAAGTCAAGTCAGAATCCACAGAGTCCAGTTCCAAACCAGTCAATTCAGCGTTAGTGCAAATTCAAAAGTAGAATCCTACTCCACAAAACAGCACAACTGTTAAACTGTTGTAATACTTTGATTTCATGATATAAGTCAATTTTACATATGTCCATTTATAATTTCTCTGCTTGAGGGATTAGACACTGAATCTATGTGGCAAACACCTCATTCACTAAACCCCACTGTCTGACCTTTGAGCGGCTCTGTCACGTCCTTCCCGCTGAACACGGGCTTGGGCATGGCTGGGATTGGTTTGGTCGCCATGGGGATCTGTGGTTTGGTTGCCATGGCAGCAGGTGCAGGAGGCGGGGGCTGGATCTCCTGGATCGGTGCTGGAGGTAAAATGGCGCCCGTCTGTTTGGACAGGTAGTTCAGGATGTCTTCTTTTAGGATACGGCCATCTTTGCCAGTCCCCACCACCTCACTCAGCTTTATCTACACAACACACACAACACAACAAATCTGGGTCATGTCTTGATGTCCCTTAATGTTTTACATTTAAAAGCCATTGACCCTCTAGTTTAGACTTCTACAAACATATTCTGAAATACTTGCATTAGTTTAAAGTTCAGATTTCACTCTTGTCTCAAACGCTAAAGTGCATATGACAGGTTTTTCTTGTTTTTCTGATCACCTAGCGTGTGGTAAATATTTATTTTAGTTTTACACCAGAGTCAAGTAAGTTTATCAAGAAATCTGGAAAAACTGAAACGTAAAGCTAATTTTTAAACAGGAATGCTTCTGTCTCTAATGTCATCTGTACATAAAATTTCATCTAAAATGCAGGGGCAAGGACTATATGTTATCATTTATTCAACAAAATAAAGGTATTTTTAGGACTGTATTAGTGTGTGGTGCTTACATTGTTCTCCATGGCCAGGCGCCTCACAGCGGGGGTGGCCTGGGTCTTGTGTCCCTTGATCTCCTGATGGGTGTGCTCCTCTCGGGCCATGGCTGGAGTCTCCACCACGTCCTCCTCTTGGATCACCTCTGCACATGCACAAACACAGCACACTCAGAGCGCACTCAGAGCACAGCACTCACAATGCACTCACAACACACAACATACACACAACACACTCACAACGTACACACACTCGCAGCACACACTCGCAGCACACACTCGCAGCACACACTCGCAGCACACACTCGCAGCACACACTCGCAGCACACACTCGCAGCACACACTCGCAGCACACACTCGCAGCACACACTCACAGCACACTTTGAATTCATTTTTAATGCATTTAAAATTTCAATATAAAAAATTCACATTTTAAATATATTAAACATATTTTCAAAAATTCACAGCAAAGATCCAAGATACCAATGCACAAATCAATCATGCAACTGAGGCTTTTTTTATAGGCTGTTCTCTTATGTGGGCAGGGTTTACAGAGATGAGGCTGGCTGACCAATCACACTGATTCACACTGCATCATTTCCTGGTTGTTACTAAGTTAGATTGGACCACTTTGGATCGATTGCTTTTGCCTTGGCATCTTGGATCTTTGCTGTGAACATTTTCACTGTGAATTTTACAGTGCGAATTAGAGGCCTTAAAAATATTTATGTTGTATACTTAAAAGATAAACATTTAATAAATAATTTTTAAAAACATTGAAATTGTGTACTAAAATTCTGATTAAAAATAATTCAAACATGTTTTTTCAGAGTTAAAAAATTCAAAGTGAAAAATTCAGCGATATTTAAAATCCAAAGTTTGATGGAATAAATTATCTTCCCTAATAATGCTAGTCTTTCACAGCAGGTCCCATAAATCCATTTTTAAGAATTCATTACATTTTGGTACTTTCTTTTCTATTCCATGTGTCTTATATATGTGTAATCCTCAGTGGTGCAGTAGGTTCATGTTGGTCCATGTTTGTATACTAGTCTATGTGCTCTGATCCAGCTCAACATCATTCTAAAGACATTTAGGAAAGGTTCATTTCTGTCTTACCAATTTATATATAAATTCTTGCTCAAATTATTATCTAGTTTTGAAAATAGTGTTGATTAATATCTGATTTTCAATACTTCTGACAACTCTACTTGTGACGCCAGCAGAGCAATTCACATATGCATTTGGTAATCTAATCTAAGAAAAAGAAAGTCCTGTATGAACCCCTCAGCCTACATGAGTCCTGACCTGATCCAGACTCGGTCTCAATGTCCACCAGTGGTGTGCCCACCAGCGCTGTGGCATCCACCTCGTAGTACAGCCTCCTGATGACGCCATCGTATCGGCTCGTGATGGTCACCGACGCTTTGTCACTCTGCACCTCACAGATACTGTCGAACTGAGACACTTTGTCCCCCTCCTTCACGTACCTGACACAGCACACAGCACTGTCACACACGAGGTACACACAAAATCCCCTGATGGCCTCCTACAGCCTCCCTCACACAAACACTGTTTGTGAAGATGAACACATTAGGTTATTGGACAGGATCAGATTTACACATACCATTCTTTTACAGTGACCTCCATGATTCCTTCCCCGATGTCAGACAGTTTGAACTGTACAATGGGTCCATAGTTCACTAAAAAAACAAAAGGTATAGAATAACTACTGAAGAAATACTTGCTTTCTTAACATATACAAATGTACTGTTAGTGGAAACAAATTAATTCAAAATTACTTTTTAAACTCTGATGAAGACCTCCATTGGTGGAAACATGCTGGCCTCTCACTTCTAATAAAGGACTTTAATATTTATAATCATAATGCTTTGAATGTTTTTAAAGCCCAGATTGAACTTGGCTATAGAGAACCTGTATGTGGCATCATGGCCTTGCCCTGATCCATCTGGTCCGGCGAGCCAGACCGCCAATAGACCGCCATTGTAAAGTTGGCACATTTTTTCGTTCCTTTAATTTTCACATTAAGACACAAGCCAGAAAAGTGTTGTGCACAGAGCTATAATCAGCAGAGAGATAAAGACACAGGGGTTCAGTTGTATCCGATCCTGTTTGAAGCTGACAGACGAGACAAGCGGAGCTGCCATTAGTGTGCCAAATACCCATCAATATTCGGGGGGGGTCTCCATCTCTGAATTGTTGAGCAATACAGACTCAAATGTGAAAAAAGAAAAAGACATCACAGTGGATGTCACAGACAGCCTAAACTGAGCAGCCCACCCGAACCTGCAGTCCACAGTGCATTCTCACTTTCCCCGCACAGAAGCAGCACGCAGATATGGAACCGCTCGGACTCAGTGCTTTGCGCACTGGTCTTGCTCACCCCCAACTGGAACCAGAACATGGAGGACGGAACCTCCGGACCGATCTGACCAACGCGCTCGGAGGACAGCACAATATCAAGCTCCCGTGTCTTTACCGTTGTTGGCTGCTGCTGTTACCCGAACTCAAAGCTTCTGCTCCGGGCTGATGTGCAGTGAGTTGCGTACAAAGTTCTACATGTTGCTGTTTTATGAGTTCATGGTGATAAGTTGAGATGAGGATGGCCCGCGGTGTTAACAGGGAACATAAATTGGAGGAACATCGGGAAAATCGGGCTGACCTTGTCCGGGTCCGTATGGGACGGCGTCTGGACCTTTTTTTTTTTTTTTTTTTTTTTTTTTTTAAGGTTTTCTAGGGGGTGGGCTAGGGTTAGTCATATTACAAAAATGCTAGCTACCATCGTCGGGACAGTCACATGAGTGCAGGTTCTCTATAGTGCACAAGGGGCTTATTATGATATATTTTTTATTTGAATTTAAATGTCTCACAACCAGCAGCCTTCATTTTATTTTTATGGGATGTGCTGCAAACCAGTCATAGTCACACTACAGGAATTGTAGAAGAAGGAGAAGGAGTGGAGTGAAATCAACTCCATACTTCTATAATGAATCCTATCACGATCGGACAATATGAAAGAAGAAGAAGAAGAAGATTACTGACCGATGGCCGTGTGGAGCGTCCTCCAGCTGACCCTGCGCAGGCTCCTCTCACATGTGAACACTGAAGACTGAACACTGGGCTCTGACCTGAAGCTCTGAGGGCGGAAACAGCGGCGGCGGTACTGCTGACTCAGCTGAACACAAACACAACAGGCTGAGAGGAGCAAAACAAACAAATAAACAAACAAACATCTGTCACACAGGGGACCAGGCTTGAACACAACATCTGATCCAAGATTATGCACTGAAATGTGAGGGGCTAAAAGGCTGTGAGCGAGGACTCTAATTGCAAAATACTTCACAAATAGTCAAAACCAATTCACATTTTTAAAAAAATATGTGGTGAAAGTAGAGAAGAGCTTGACTAATTTGGAGTTCTGTCATAGTCAATATGATATTTTTGAATCTAGATCAGTTGATGACTGATCAACTATGAGGCTGATATATAGGACTGATTTAATTAAATGATGACACAATACAGAACAACAGGACCCTGATCTCCCTTTCTCTCCTTATCCACATACTATTATGATAAAAGTGTTTTGTCATCTCTGGGGGGAACGGTTGAACTGAGGACAAAGCAGTTTCATGGAAAATAAAGTGTACTGTAAACTATTTCCTTCAGATTGACAGCCCTTTTTGTCTACTTGACATTTGAAGTCATGCACTCACCATGGCACTACCTAAATCCAGAAGTGTCAGTGTCCCTTTCGGGGTGAGGAGCCTAACGGACAAACTGAGCTCACTTCATTCAGCGGCTGTAAGAGCTGACAGGTGAGGGGATGCAAGGTGGAAAAGGACAAGACTAAATAACACCTCCAGTACCGGCCCTTCCGGTACATGACAGGACACGGGCTGACCGCGACAATACGCGGAGTTTGTTTCCTTCCTAAGTGTGTCTGATGGCCACGGCGTGCTCTCTGTGTTTTGGTTTATGCCTCTTGATGCTAACATTAGCATCCCTTGCATTACATGGAGTCAGAGAGGTTGCATCTCGTTCTCACAGGTGTAAAAGCCGATACGGTTCCTGCTAACGGTAGACGCTGCAGCGGCGCACACACGGGCTCGATAAAGGCGTGCATCATGTGTCTGGGTGTGTTTATTTCTCACCAGTCGCCTGAAAACACTGAAGGAGCCTCTTGTCACCGCCGCCATCTTTAATTCCTGTCTCGGCCGCTGTGACGTCACTCCGCACGCCCCTCTCAGCATCCAATCAGAGCCCGCTCGCTTTTACTAAATACGAGTGAACGCGACACACAGTGGTCAAACCAGGGATTACACCAATAGACCTTTAGGAGCTTCGATTTTTGCTCTCTCATTTATTAAGTTGTTTTTTCCCACTTCCCCGTATTTATGGGAAAATGTGTTTTGCCCATTGACTTTTTGTATCAGTTTCCAGCACGTGCACTTGCAGTTTACTACCAGTGCACGTTTTATATGCATTAAGGTGCTAAGACAATAATATTAATCTGTCTGATTTTACCTAAAAAGCCTGACTCAAATTTTCCTCAGTTTAAACGGAATCTGTTTCTGAACTCTTTTGGAGCACAGACAAATAAAAAAATGTTGGTCTGTGTCTGATCTGCTCTCATTAGAAATGGGAACAAGTCAGGTACAGAGGAACATCAGACTTGAGAAAGCTGCTGCTGGGAGGTATAAATGTACTGACAGTAGCATCTGATGGTTTTAGTCTTGACAATTCTCTTTTGATGGCTGAAACCAAAATAACTAAACTAAATAACTGAAATCATGCTAATAAATGCATTGAACTAATTTTTCTACATGCATCTGTGGAATTCTGAACTTTTATTTTGAAGCTATTCCAGTAGCACATGTGGTTGACTTAAAGCCCTTCCCCTCACAGACATAAGGTTAGGGTTAGACTGTAGATGTACAGTTTTATGATCTACGCTCACAGACATATGGGTTAGGGGGGTTATAATCTCTGAAAGGTTTAACATGAACCATCTCTGATGAGATACACACAGAACAGAGTCCAGTCCTTTAGTCTGACAGAAGCTGAACCACATCAGCGCACAAGGAGCAACCTGTTTTTTTCAGCACTTATGGTTTATGCAAATGAGCCATATGGTTTTAAGTTTCATTTCTGTAAAACGTAAACAAATGTGTGCAAAACTGTATTAAACACATTATTACTCAATGTATATTTGAATCCTCCTCCTCGGAAATAAAAATCCAAATTTAAATTATCCACCCACAGCAACCTAAAAATGTGTAAATATTAAAAAAACATTTTATTTAAATGTTATAAGCTTACCATTATCTACAAATTTAGAATTAGGTTTAAAAACTAACAAACCAAACTAAAAATACATTGTAATTCAGTCCTCATTATTTATTTTCCAAAGTCACTTACAGCAGGGCCAGTCTACACAAGTAGTGCACACACTGTTATTGCACAATTTTAAGATTCAAAACATAAATATTTGGAGGCATCATCACACAGGAGCTGTAGGTCCTTGTTAGAGTCCTTTAGGAGCGACAAAGAAGCAAAATATGACTGTAACAAAAGAGACGGTTTTGCCATTTACTTTCATGTACATCTAATATATCTGTGACAAAATGACATTTTTTTCGTACCATTTTTGAATGAATGTTTTCCTATTTGATGTAATTTCTCTGTTGTTCCATAAGGTGGAGCCATGTGGCGTAAAGTTCTGGGTAAATACCATCTTCAATAATGGAGGCTTTGTTTGTGGTATTCAGACCGTTTTACAGGTCACTTGGATACTTCAAAATCACATTTTAAAGGAAATTCCAGACCACTAAGTTGTTTAAAAACATTCTTAGGGATATTAAACCAAATTGTTTCAGGTTGGGCTAAGAAAGTTTTAATCCAATTTATTCTGAAAACACCCACCATGGATTCAAAGTCAATTGTTTTTAACCCTCCTTTGTTGTAATCTTTGACAAGTTGTGTTTTTTTTTTTTATGTAGTGAGTTTTATTGCGCCAAATGAATTGGTATATTACAGTATTGGTTTTTTGATATCTTGTGGAGTAATATAATGTGAATAGCTTGGGTACACCAGTTTTGAGCTGCCTTTGGATTTTGGTAAGAAATTTGAGAATTTTTGAAATTTCTAAAATTTTTTGCTTGATATTTTTGGATTCTCTTGTTTTGACATCTCTGGTTACATGATGTATGCCCAAGTATGTCATTTCAGTTTTCACAGGAATAGACTTAATTTTTTAAGATTTAGATAAAGGCCTGATGCCTGAGAAAACAGAGATGATATTTAGAGCTGAGCTTTGATAGTTGACTTTGTCTTTCAAAAAGATGAATATATCGTCAGCAAATTGGCTTATTTTAAATTCCGTGTCAAACATTTTTATGCCCTCGAACTTTTGATTGTTTACTATGAAATAAGCCATTAATTGTGTACATAAAATAAATGATTTGGGGAAATGGGGCATTCTTGACGTATTCCACAAAATACTTTAATTCTTGAGGTGATGCCAGAATGCAGTAGCCAGGCGGGTGCCACCCAGTGCCTCCGCTCAGTTTCATTTCTCTCCAGTGACTAGGTCAGGAATCAAAATACACTAGACGGTTTATAAAAACCCCACAAGTGCAGAATGTTTGGTGAATTTCATCAAGGGGATAGACGTTATTGTCCTTCTTCCTAGGGAATTTGGGAAAAGCTTAATGCACTAGTTAACCCCGTTAGCGGCACATTACATACATCACGACCAAATAGCAGCGATTGGTTAAATCAGGAGTGTCAAACTCAAATTCACAGAGGCCAAAATTAAAAACTGGGACAAAGCCATGGGCAAAATTAAATATTTATTGAAAATTTCAACAACATCTGCATGATGAGATATGTCATATTCAACCTTTAATTATTAAAATAAATGTTTAATAATAGTTTTGCTTAAACATTGAATCCAGATCAAGCATAATTTAAAATAATAACTAAATGTTAAATAAATAATGCCTCTATATCTGTAGCCGATGGGCAGCTCAAATACATATTTGATATAATCTCACAGGCCAAGTATAATTATATCCTGGGCCAACTTTGGCCCCTGGGCCTGAGTTTGACAAGTCTGTGTTAAATGATAAAAAGTCCCCACCTACCGTCAAGCGAACGACGAGCTAACACTGTGAGGTCAGACAGTTTCTACGAAGTGAAACCAGCTGATAAATCAGGCTACGGATGCAGTACACTATAGCTGTACATTTCATTATAAAAAATATTTATCATTTTACAAAATTTGTCTCCAAACCCAAAAAATTTTAGGGATTCCAATAAAAAGTTGTTGTGTGTCTACAGAATCAAATGCTTTGAGTGTGGTAATTTAACAAGTCTAAAATTAGCCGAACATTGTTATGAATATGTCTGCCTTTTCTAAAGGCTGACTGAAACTCATCGATTCATTTATGTAAGACACTTTTTAACCTGTTCACATACACCAGAGTTATTCATTTATAGTCATTACAAAGAAGTGTTATGGGTTTCCAATTGTCTAGATCCTTATTTGGTTTGGGCAATAATGTTAAGCCAGTTTTCATTGTTGGGTTAATTGGTTATTTTTTATACACTCCAAAAAGTATAAAACTCAACCGTTAGTTCATCTGTGCCCTGTGATTTACTGTTCTTCATTTGTTTTAGAGCAATTTTTATTCTTCTGACAATTTGGTTATGTTGTCTTTTATTGTATCCGTAAAAGCATCACATTTGTCTTTTTGGAATATTTTCTTGTATACATTCCCATAGAATTGCTTATTTCATTTTTGGGTTGAGTTCTGGATAATGGTACATTTTTTTTACTTAATTTTGTTATATTTTTTCTTGATTGTTTTCTTTTTGTAAGACTGTAGAAATAAGATGAGTTTTTCTCCCCTTTCCGAGTTTCCAACAAAGTGAGCTTTCTATTTGTTTAAGTTTTCGTGTATCAGTAATTTTCTTTCCAGTTTCAATAGCTTGTTGCTTCACTTGAAATTTAAACCATTCCCACTGGCCTATGTTTGACATGTCCAACCTGCTTGTTTCTATCAGAATTGTTCTAACCTGTCTTCAGTATTCTTTGTTTAGCAACTGTGTTATTGAATTTCCAGAAATGATCAGATTTTGGTTTTTGGTTTACCAATTCCAGAGCAAAACTAATATTACAATGATCAGTAAGTGGCAATAGTTGGATATCACATCCATCCATCCATTTTCGTCCGCTTATCCGGGGCCGGGTTGCGGGGGCAGCAGCCTAAGCAGGGACTCCCAGACACGTCCTCCAGCTCCTCCGGGGGAATCCCGAGGCGTTCCCAGGCCAGCCAAGAGACATAGTCCCTCCAGCGTGTCCTTGGTCTTCCCCGGGGCCTCCTCTCGGTGGGACATGCCCGGAACACTTCCCAAGGGAGGCGCCCAGGAGGCATCCGGAACAGATGCCCGAGCCACCTCAACTGGCTCCTCTCGACGTGGAGGAGCAGCGGCTCTACTCCGAGCTCCTCCCGTGTGACTGAGCTCCTCACCCTATCTCTAAGGGAGCACCCAGCCACCCTGCGGAGGAAACTCATTTCGAGCGCTTGTATCTGCGATCTTGTCCTTTCGGTCATTACCCAGAGCTCATGACCATAGGTGAGAGTAGGAACGAAGACTGACCGGTAAATCGAGAGCTTCGCCTTTCGGCTCAGCTCCCTCTTCACCATAACGGTCCGATACAGCAACCGCATCACTGCCGAAGCTGCACCGATCCGCCTGTCAATCTCACGTTCCGTCCTTCCCTCACTCGTGAACAAGACCCCGAGATACTTGAACTCCTCCACTTGAGGCAAAGACTCTCCACCCACCCGGAGAGGGCAAGCCACCTTTTTCCGGTCGAGAACCATGGCCTCGGACTTAGAAGAGCTGATCTTCATCCCAGCCACTTCACACTCAGCTGCAAACCGCCCCAGTGCACATTTCAGGTCCTGGTTCAATGAAGCCAACAGGACAACATCGTCTGCAAACAGCAGAGATGAAATCCTGTGGTCCCCAAACCGGACCCCCTCTGGCCCCTGACTGCGCCTAGAAATTCTGTCCATAAATACAATGAACAGAACCGGTGACAAAGGGCAGCCCTGGCGGAGTCCAACATGCACTGGGAACAGGTCTGACTTACTGCCTTCAATGCAAACACAGCTCCTGCTCCGGTCATACAGGAACCGGACAGCCCTTAGCAAAGGACCCGGATCCCATACTCCCAGAGCACCCCCCACAGGACACCACGAGGGACATGGTCGAATGCCTTCTCCAGATCCACAAAGCACATGTGGACTGGTTGGGCAAACTCCCATGAACCCTCGAGCACCCGATGGAGAGTATAGAGCTGGTCCAGTGTTCCACGGCCAGGACGAAAACCACACTGCTCCTCCTGGATCCGAGGTTCGACTATCGGCCGGATTCTCCTCTCCAGTACCCTGGCATAGACCTTACCGGGAAGGCTGAGGAGTGTGATCCCCCTATAGTTGGAACACACCCTCCGGTCCCTCTTGTTATACAGAGGGACCACCACCCCGGTTTGCCAGTCCAGAGGTACTGTCCCCGACCGCCACGCGATGTTGAAGAGGCGTGTCAGCCAAGACAGCCCCACAACATCCAGAGACTTAAGGTACTCAGGACGGATCTCATCCAACCCCGGAGCCTTGCCACCAAGGAGCTCTCCAACCACCTCAGTGACTTCAGCCAGGGTGATGGATGAGTCCGTCTCCAAGTCCCTAGCCTCTGCTTCCTTCTCGGAAGACGTGACGGTGGGATTGAGGAGATCCTCAAAGTATTCCTTCCACCGCCGGACAACGTCCCCAGTCGAGGTCAGCAGCTCTCCCCCCGCACTGTGAACAGTGTTGGTGAAGAACTGCTTCCCCCTCCTGAGGCGCCGGACGGTTTGCCAGAATCTCTTCGAGGCCGTCCGATAGTCCTTCTCCATGGCCTCCCCGAACTCCTCCCAGCTCCGAGTTTTTGCCTCCGCAACCACACGGGCTGCAGCACACTTGGCCCGCTGGTACCCATCAGCTGCTTCAGGAGTCCCCCGAGCCAGCAAGGCCCGATAGGACTCCTTCTTCAGCTTGACGGCATCCCTTACTTCCGGTGTCCACCACCGGGTTCGGGGATTGCCGCCGTGACAGGCACCACAGACCTTACGCCCACAGCTACGAGCGGCCGCATTGACAATGGAGGCTGAGAATGAAGCCCACTTGGACTCCATATCTCCAGCCTCCCCCGGAATCCGGGAGAAGTCCTCCCGGAGGTGCGAGTTGAAAGACCCTCTGACAGAGGGCTCCGCCAGATGTTCCCAGCAGACCCTCACTACACACTTGGGCCTGCCAGGTCTTTCCGGCTTCCTCCTCCGCCAGCGAACCCAACTCACAACCAGGTGGTGATCAGTTGACAGCTCAGCCCCTCTCTTCACCCGAGTGTCCAAGACACGCAGCCGGAGGTCAGATGACACGACTACAAAGTCGATCATCGACCTCTGGCCTAGGGTGTCCTGGTGCCACGTGCACTTATGGACAACCTTGTGCTTGAACATGGTGTTCGTTATGGACAAACTGTGACTAGCACAGAAGTCCAATAACAAAACACCGCTCGGGTTCAGATCAGGGAGGCCGTTCCTCCCAATCACCTCTCTCCAAGTGTCACTGTTGTTGCCCACGTGGGCGTTGAAGTCCCCCAGGAGAACAACGGAGTCCCCAGTTGGTGCACTGTCTAGTACCCATCCCAAGGACTCCAAGGAGGCCGGGTACTCAGCACTGCTGTTCGGCCCGTAGGCCGACACCACAGTGAGAGACCTGTCCCCGACCCGAAGGCGCAGGGACGCGACCCTCTCGTTCACCGGGGTGAACTCCAACACACAGCGGCTGAGCTGTGGGACAATGAGCAGGCCCACACCAGCCCGTCGCCGCTCCCCATGGCCAACGCCAGAGAAATGGAGAGTCCAGCCCCTCTCAAGGAGTTGGGTTCCAGAGCCCAAACTGTGCATGGACTATATCTAATCGGTAACACTCAACCTCCCGCACAAGCTCAGAGCTAGTCTCCATGTCCGGAGATCCCGTCGCCGAGGCCCCCCGCCGTCAACTGCCGCCCAGATCTCTCTGCACCGGCCCCATATGGCTCCTCCCACGGGTGGTGGGCCCACGTGAGGACGGCCCCACGTCACTCCTTCGGGCTGAGCCCGGCCGGGCCCCGTGAGGGAAGGCCCGGCCACCAGGCGCTCGCTGGAGAGCACCCACCCCAGGCCTGGCTCCAGGGTGGGGCCCCGGTGACGCCAATCCGGGCGACGTAACTGGCCTCGTTGGTACACTTGTCATACAGGTCTTCTGAACCGTTCTTCGTCTGACCCGTCCCCCCGTACCTTTTTGCCTTGGGTGACCCTACCAGGGGCATGAAGCCCCCGACAACATAGCTCCCGGGATCATTCGGGCACTCAAACCCCTCCACCACGATAAGGTGACGGTTCAAGGAGGGGATATCACATTTTTTACAAACTCAGTTAGAGTGAGAGACACAAGCCAGTAATCCAACCATGAGCATAGGTTAGAGTCGGCTGAGCTGATCCATGTACACTGTCTTGTATCAGGGTTGGGAGGTTTCCTATCAAGATGCGGATTAGGGGCTATATTAAAATCACCCCGTTACCATACGTTACCATTACCATTATGATTCTCCAATTAATTAGGTTCATTTGGACATCATGTTAGTATTAAGCGACCTGTTGTTGTGTCCATACACATTAATTAATGTAACGTGTAATAGTATCAAGGACTTCTATCACAGCCATTACCCAGTGCCCCTCTTCATCTCTTTTGTGATCGACTAGTGTTCCCTTAAACCTGTAAAATAAAATCATCACTCCTGCAGAGTGGGAAGTACCATGCGAATACAGAGTAGTGTCACTCCATTGTTGTTTCCAGAATTTTGCTTGCTGGAATGTGTCTCTTGTAAGAAAATAATATTGGCTATAGTCTCTTTACAAAATGGAAATATGGCCTTGCGTTTAACAATATTTTTGTAAACATTTTAAACATTTTTAAAACATTAAAGAACTCAGATGAACTCTTGTATTCACTAGAAGAACAAAATGATGAGCAGGAATGAGCATGTTGTCCTAGAACTTTTTTTTATTTATTTTTTCTAAGAGAACCCCCTTCAGTTCAAAATATGGGTACAAAATCCATTATCTTGGATATGTTTTTTTCCCCCTGAGGAACATGTAAAGTGCAAAGAACCATCTTTATCTTGCCAACAACTAACCAACACTTTTATATGTGTGTAAGGGAGTGCCATGGTGGTGCTCCAGTACTTTGTTTCCATGACGAGACCACTGTTACAGTTTTTGTTGTTTTTGGCCCATGTCCAACTGCGGCCACCGTAGCGGCAGAGCGAAGAGGCTGCGCAGTACACCCCCCGGCCTCTTCTCCCTGCCCTTACCATGGATCTATTAAAATAACCCTTATAAAACCCAAATAACCTTATAAAACCTTAAATAACCCTATAAAAATATGCGCTGTCAATCGCAGTTAATCAAATCCATCAACATCTTAGATTTGCCACCTTCAAGTTAATTGCACCAAATAGGTTATGTAAAATGTTGCACTAATTATTGGTCGTGTTCTGAGCGAGCAGCACAGTGGTTTGTTTTTATGGCACTTGAATTTACGCTAGCAGTTGGGAGCCGATGCATTGTGTAATGGGTTGTAACTATAGTGACCATTTACCAAACATTTAATAAATTATATTTTTTTATTTTATGATGTTTTACTAATTATTACTATTGAACACTAAATATGAATATGAATAATTAGTAATTGTATTGTTGTATTGAATGACTAATTAGAGCGCTCTTCTCTCTGCCCTTACGCCGTAATGTCCCATGAGCCAAGCAACTGTAAGAAATACCCGTCATCGCTACTGGAACTCATCAAATAAATGTACTGGCTGCCCCTCATTCCACAGTCAAAAAGAACCGCTGTGTCTGCTGTGATCCTTCTCTCCGCACCACACCTAGACACTCATACATCACCAAACACTACGCAGAGTCCTGAGTGGGTGTGTAGAGACAACTGGGACACAGTCCGTGAGGGTTACACGTGCTTAGCTTTTTCTGATGGTTCTACTCATTTACAATCAATAGAGCATCCTCCTCTTTTAAGAAGCTCTTGGCCCTGTGCGGTGTGCTTGCTCCACAGCTGGAAAAAGCCTGTGGCCTCACGATGTTCTTTAGAAAAGTCCTCCTTAAACCTCAGGTTCATGTCTTTACACCCTCTGGCCTCCTTTGATCTTCTTCATATCTCACCCCTCGTTGTCCTCATGCCCAGCGTCTTTAGTGGCTGCATTGTTCTTCCCTCCGGTTGAGAGTGTCCACGGTTTCGTAATTTGTCTACTGACACAGAATGCCAGTCACCGTTTCTCCTGTATTTTCGTTTTCTTTCTGGGGCAGTGCGATCAACCTGAGATCCCGTACTCCAAGTATTTCCCCTTCCGGTCTCAGTTTTCTTCTTTTACGGACTGTACCTGCGCTTTAAGTTGGTCCACTTCATTTTTATTTTTATTTTTATTTTTATTTATTTATTTATTTATTTATTTATTTATTTATTTATTTATTTATTTATTTATTTATTTATTTATTATTGTTGTTTTTCCTTTGGTTGCATGTGCAGCTCGAAGTTCACAGACTTTCTTCCGAGCACGTCTAATCTGTCATCCACCCTTCTTGATAAATGGGTGCACGTCGATCGACGCAGACGCTCTGCGGAGGGGGTTCACGTTGACGCTGACGTTGACTCTCTGCGTCGTGACGCAGACGATTTGGCGCTTCAGATTTACAGTTCCGTGATCCCGCACAGACGGATCGCTCTTGTGTCGGGTTTATCACTGTTCCTCTAAAGAGTTCCATCGAAATGATTGTAAATGGTAACCTACTCGGAGCTATGAAATCGGTGCGTTTTATCCCGTACTGTGCTGGGAAAAGACATTAAATAACTTTTTCTGCCAAGTTGTGCCGCTAATGCTAATGAAGCGTGCCAGGCTAATGTTGTGTTCTGATGTTGTTCTGTTGTTTTCAGGAGGAGAGCGACTCCAGGAACAACACGGTGGAAATTTCAATGCTGGACGTCTTGGAGGATAAAGTCATGATGTCACAGGTAAGCTGCATTGAAAAGAGTATTTTTCTTTTTTCTTTTAAGTGAACTTGAACTTTGCTTTCAAACCTTTAATAAACGTGCGTATAATTTCCTTGAACCAAGTGTTTTTGAGTTCATGAAGAGAGCTACAGGCCTATGGGATTCTATTCTCATTATTAAATCTCATGTTATGGTAGTGAGCATGTCTACTGTCTTCATGAACTACTGGTCTTCACGGTCAATACTGTAGTCAATTAAGAAAAGAATGCTGAAAAATCATTTTGTAATTTTCTCAGATAGTGTCTTTACTTAATTTTAGTTTTGATAAAGGTTAGCTTTTATGCTCTGTGATTTAGCCAGCGCTGCTGTGCACTAGGATTGTTCTTGAATGGAAATCGCAGTTTGAGTTGTTGCATTTATCAACTCACAAACGCTGCATTTATTTAAATAACAGACTGTCCTCTGCAAAGAACAAAATATCTTGTCATTTTATAGACAAATCTTGTCGTACCTGTAGTTTATAAACATGTCCCTGTGTGTCAGATGCCCTTCCTGTGTCTTCATGCGGTCTTATTCTATGTGAAATCCGTAGTTGGGGCAGAGCTTGACCCATCTGTGGCTTAGAAGAGGGTCCTAAACAAGCTCCATTCCTTCCTGGATAACCCCCAGCACCCCCTGTACATACATCACCGGACAGGAGAGCCCCTTTGGAGACAGACTGTTGCCCCTGTCCTGCTCCATGGACACATTCTGGAAGTCCTTTGTCCTTTCTTCACTATAATTGCATTGATGTTATGTTATTATGTATGTATGTATTGTGCTGCCTGAAATGAATTTCTTTTGAGATAATAAAATATTTGTAATTTAATCTAAGAGCTGCTAACCCTGCAGTTTTAGACCTTTACAAACATGTTCTTAAATGCATTGATTCTTGTATCAGTTCAGCTCTCGGTCTCTCAAATGTGAATGCTCCTGGAGTTTTTTTGAAATGCACAGACAGAATCTTACTTCCTCACTGTAACCTGATTACCTCTTTTTTTTAAGACTGTGTCTGAGCTGGCACCAGGACGAGAAGAATGCAACCCTCCAGAGACTCTGGAAGATTCTCAAGCTGTCAGCCCTCCAGCTTATTCACCTGCAACCTGCAACACAGGCCAACCCTCAACCTGCCCCACAACCCAACCCGCAACTTGCCCCACAGCCCAACCCACAATGTGCCCCTCAACTCAACTCCCAACTGACCCCAAAACTGACACTCTAGTCCAGCATGCGGACAGCACCCAGACTCCTGAGCCTAAGGTTTGTGCTTTTCAAATGCCAGCCATGTCATTTACTCGGCATTTCAAAAAGCTAAATTGGGAGTTGCTGCAACTGGATGTTCAGGATCATCTCATAATTTGTGGATATAATTGGTAATAGTCAATGCCAACATCCATAACCATTTTGCAAATATACATAGATTAGTGACAGCTCAATTACATGGAATTACTGCTCCATGTTTATTTGCAGCACAGAGTGGGGTAGCCTTGTAGTTTGTCATGACTGATCTAAGACCAGTGAGTACATGTCCTACGTTGGCTCTTTCTCACCTCTTGCAATTGAATACCTCTCTTAGGCTGCTCCCTGCATTATTTAAGGGCACTGCTTCATGCAGTGGGTATTCTAGTACGTACAGATGTCAAGGTGCAATATTTGGATCAGGGAAATTCAAACTATGAAACCTCAATCAAAATTTAGTATTTCTGAAAACCTGTTCATTTTGGACCAGGCCAGGGCTTTGGTTTTCCTAGTGCGCATGTAATAGTGGAGAATGAAACTTGTCGCCTTGTTTTCTGTCCTGCTTCAGCCTGAGTGGACAGTGGGAACTCCATGTCAGGCCGTGTGGTCAGCGGATGGGAGGCTGTACACAGCCACCATCCTGTCTCTGGACGGGCAGCGCTGCAGGGTCAGGTTTGATGGCTACGGCAACGAGGATGAAGTAGACCTGAGCACCCTCAAACAGCCAGAGGGACAGTTCAAGGGCACTCAGGTATGTTTGCCAGAGTCTTTCCCTTTAATACATTAGTTCATGACGGGCAGCTATAGTCTGAATTTTTTTCTTTTTTCTTTATAAACTTATGAGAGTCTGACACTGTCCCGCTCAGGCTGTTGTTTCTTTGGACCAGGTTTTGGCCACACGGAGCATGTGTGCTCTATAGTTTCTGGTGTCCACTGTAAAACCCTAGCCTTTTTTCCTGTAAAACCCTGCCTTAAATTACATGGCCTTACCTCCTTGTCAAAGCCTGATCTCATCTGATCTCAGAAGCTAACCAAGGCAAGGCCTGGTTAGTACTTGGAGGCTGCTGGGAATACCAGGTGCTATCAGCACAGTAGACTGTGCAGTCCAGACTGGTTTTAGGCTGGAGACGAGACTTTTTTTATGGTCTTGGACTCGTCTTGGATTCAAGGGCATTTGAAGTCGGTCATGTCTCGGTCTGGAAGGTGCTAGGGACTCTGTCTTGTCACAGACTCAAGGTCTGACACTTGATGAGTGGGATAATATTTCATTACGGCCGCTGCTGTCAAGAGTAAACTTGTTCCAATGTGTGGGAGCACTGGGGCTTCTTACTGCAGCCTGTGCGCTCGTCTGGAGCTCGCAGCCACTGCATCGCACATCTACAACATGCCCTCATGGTTAAACTTAAAAAATTTAACCAACATCCTACCTGTGCACCTGCCTCACATCCCTCCTTGCCTTATTACACTGTCTCCTCCCTGTGTATAGCGCACACAGGCTTCATTGTACGCTGATTAGAAGGCAAGACGAAATGCAAAGCTAAAACTAATCCAAACTTATGTTACAGTGTGCACACAAAGCAGCCCTACTGTCATATGTGGGCTGAAGTTTGCCTACTAAAAGTGCACAAATCCATTTGTATTTGACACAATGAGCATTTGGTAAATGTGGTGAGACAAGAAAGATAATGTAACTCCAGTTAGGAACTGAAAAACAGGTTTAAAAATCCTACCCACTTTTTTCACTCTCTTCAATTTTCTGTAAAGTTCCAGTGGAATATCTCTTAAAGAGGGGGTTCTCAAACTGAGGGTGAGGGTCCAAATAAGGGGTATATAGTGTTTCAGTGCAGTACACTTTCCTTGGCTTATTTTAAGCCTAAATAACATAGGTCTTGGTCTTGTCCTGATCCCTGGTGCCTGTGGTATCAGATAGGACTTGGTCTTTTACCTACAACACTACCAGGAGCCACAGTGGGGCAGCAGTGGCTCTAGTAGAAAATTTGTCCATAGGCAAGACACTTTTCCACCTAGCCTAGTATGAATGTGGTGTGTGTGACAGAAGGTGCTGTGTTGTCAGGAGTGGACGGCGGGCACTCCCTGCAGAGCCAGGTACTCTGTGGATGGGCTCACCTACCCCGCTGTGGTGCTGTGGGTGAGAGGGCAGCGCTGCAGGGTACGCTTCGACTACTACAACAACGAAGAGGAGCTGGATGTGGACAGCCTACTGAGCCCCAATGAGCTGCACGGGCCTACACGCTCCAGGAGGGTGAGAGAGACCAGTGATCTCTGACCTCTGACCTGAACACTGTAATGCAGACACACACAAATGGCATTCTGCAGACTGTCTCTCGAAGAACATTCTATCTCTCTACAGCTGGAACCAGCACATGCTCTTCAGTGTTTTTAAAGTCCACATGCTTCACATGAGCAGGTTGAAATATAAATTTTTCATTCTCGATCTTCAGCCTCAGTATCAGTCCACAACCCAGCAGGGTCATTCCACGCCAAATCTCTGAATGCCCCCACCCAACCATCTCAGATTTGAGTGAAAAAATTCTAGGAGGTTCACACACTTTCCAATAGGAAAAGTCAAAAATTTTAGCTCAGTCAGTCATCAGTAATGTGCATGTTGTTTGCAGTGAGATGTTCTGAGTGTGCTGTTACTGTGTCAAAATCAAACTAAAGATGACATGAGCATGTGAAGTCCATGGCTGACAAGCTGGAAAGTAGATTTGCAAATGCACTGGCAGTGCCAGGTACCAGAGATAATCACTGTTTCAAGTCAAGGCAACATCATCTGGGGTCAGCAGTGTGTCTGGAACTGCTGGATTTTTAGTCTATTATGAGACAAAACATTCAGAAGAAGAGGTTTCACAGGGCTTCCAAATCAGTGACATGATACCTGGCCAACATGTGTGTACAACCATCACTGGTGGGTGGAAAACATCACAGAGACATCTGAAACCCAGCAAGATGTTCAGACATAATTCATACATCCACACAACCCAGCAAAAAGTTTCTCTTGGCCCAGAAGAAAAAACTAGTGCTGGATACGTTTACAACACATCATTTCTAAAATAGATGTTCCAGCACTCCAACAAGGTGCCCAAGGTGCTTTAAACAATTCAGGAGTGTTACACCAAAACATCTGAAAGTTTTCTCAAAGAGTTGAGATAATTTACAGTAGTTGAGTAATCAAATCAAGCATTTTGTTGAGTTTAAGCTGTGTGTCAAATATTCAGAGTGTTTTCTTTGCTTCTGAAAGTGTCTTCATAGTCCATGAATGCTCTGCATGTATGTGGACACCACATTTTCAAAAATTCATTTTGCAAAAATAAGGCAGAACACCATCACAAATTTTGGATGTGTTAAAAACAGACATCTAGTCTATTTTATGTTGGTGTCATTTTTTTGGTATAACATGGTAAAGATGGCACCATATTATTTTTTTTCCATTTTGAACACTTAATATCTTGTAGAGCTTTCATCACAGAGGGTCAGTTTTAAAATACAAAGTACACAGCATGTGTGGGAAGGTGAATGTTCAATATCAAACCTCTGTCTTTGAAATTGCACTTTCCACAGTCCTTCAAAGATGCCCTCAGATTTGAAGAGTTGAATTTTCGAGCAAATTCAAGCCCCCAGAAATCTGTGATAAATCAAAAGCACGTGTGAAAGTCCAGATTGTACAAGTACATCTGACAAATTTTAACCCTTGAAAGTTTGAAGGATCTACCTTAAATAGTGTTTTAGATACCAAAATCTGAAAGTGGCTCCTTGGAAAACTCAAAACAGGTCAGGGAAGAGTTGACAAAATATTTTTTTAATGAGTTGGGAGCTAAAATTCCTATTGGAAAGTGTGTGAACCTCCTAGAATTTTTTCAGTCAAGTCTGAGATGGTCGGGCTGGAACATTCAGAGATTTGGCTCAGAATGACCCAGCACTGACCTCTCTGTCTCTGACCACCAGGCAGTCACCTGGACATTATCATTCCCATCCCAACTCCCAGACAAGCTCGTTCAATACCTTTCTGTACACTGTACTCACTGTATTCTACCTCTCTCACCTCCTCCATATCAAACATCTGGGACACGGGACCTTCTCATGTCTCCCCTCCACATTCACTGCTACGCCGAGGATGATTTACATCTCCACAAGTACTTGTCTGACATCAAAATGTGTGGACCACAACAAAACTATTGTCGGTGTGCAGGTCAACTGTAATTAATCTGTCTTTTCTGTTCTGTATTTGTGCAGGGCGCCACCTGGAGACCAGCATTTGCAATTGGAGCCAGGAGAAGTAGAGAGGCTTCTGACAGTGTAGAGAGAGGAGAGATAAGGGAGAGGGGAGGGCAAGGAGCAAAAGTGGAAAGAGAAGAGAGAGAGAGAGACGGGAGCTGGAAAAACTCACGGGAAACCAAAGTAAGTATAAGTAATACTTGAACTGTTAAGTGACTCTCTAAATCCCTGTTAAAGTTATCTTATTAAACAGTGGAATCCAAACTCCATCACTCCCTGAACATTGTCCTGTGCTTGTCTCCAGCAGGCCAGAGACAGGACCTCGAGCCAGAACAGGGAGGAGGGAGAGAGACAGGCAGACGAGAAGAAACCTGCAGATCCACCAGTCTACCCCCTCTTCAGCCCCTTCCCTCCGTTTCCTCCTCCTCCTCAGCACTCTGGGGTAACAGCTGCCTCCCTCACCCACACATTAGCACAGACACACCTCCCTCTGGTTGAGTCTGATGTATGTTTTTATTCCGCACACTCGCCCACATGACCTGTCTGGAGATGTCTGGCCAGTAACAGTGTAAAAGTTGGAGCGTGCTTTGACCCACTGCACCCTGCATTTATTAAAACAGCTGTGTATGACAATGCAAAATCATTATACTGACTATGGTTTTAAATCTGTGAAAAAGATGTGTTAAGTACTAAACAGGCTAATTCAGGGATAATTCAAATGTTGAAATGCCCTTTTGCTCAGCTGCTGATCCTGAGACCAATAATCCTTGAAAATGAAGTGTGGGTTTAATGAAGTGCCTCGCTCACTCCTGCCTGTGTAACAGGAGCAGGGACACAGCAGAAGTGGACACAGGGACACACATCTTCATCAGCTCAGAGAGATCATGGACAGAGAGACAGTGGTGACTGCAGCTACATGATACTGCAACATGCGCTGCTGTGAAATGATCTTTTGTTGTTAGCCACAGGTCAAAAAACTGAATTATAGGTGTTTGTGTACTAGACAAGTAGAGCAGAGGTTTCCTAGTGTGTGATATTTGTCACATAGTGGAGACTGAAACATACAGACTCAGATTGCTGAATACCTGCCTCCCTTATTGGGACAAAAATCAGGTCCTCATGACAAATGGAGCACGGAAACCCAACATGTGTGACTGTGTGAGTGTAACTGATGTGCCTGTGTGCAGGACGGCCCAGGCTTGGTGCCCCCTCCCCCTTCCTTCTGGGCATTTGGAGGGAGGGACCCGTGTGCTGGTCTGGACCAAACCTCCCACATGCTAATGCTGTGGTACATGTGTGGCTTTCACACAGGCTCCTACCTGGTCAGTGACACACACTACATCATGGAACACTACAGGACAGAAGTGTCTCACTGTGTCCTCTTCTACAGGCCCAGCAGCAGCTCAAGTCCTCCACCAGGGACTGAACAGGGACTGGATTCAAGACTGGTCCTGAGACCAGAAAACTCTTTGTGTCATTCTGTTCTTCGTGGACAAAGATTTAGAATTCTGACTGTAAAGAAGATCTGTTTTTGTTACATTTGTATTACTTACTAATTGAAATCTCATTTATTTTAAGTTCCAAAATAAATGAAAGTAACTGCAAGAATATAAAAGACTTGTATGAGAATTGTTCAGTTGATGACTTAATCTTGTTAAGCATTTTTGAGTTTGTTCTGTTCAGAGTGTTCCAAAATGAAATAAACACATTTGACAGATGTGTAAGTCTTGTGCTGGTGTGATTTGTGTTTCCAGTCTGATTGGTGACGAGTGGATGGGTCACTGGTGATCATGTCCAAACCTCCAGAGTCCTGTGGGTCTTATGAACATGAGACTGTGGGCTTCAGTGACAGGAGGACAGTGGACCAGGACAAAGATGAAGACAGCCACCCCATGCAGCAGAACCACCCTGCATATGCACCACAGACTGAACCACTGAGCCACGGCCTGTAAAGGGTTCACTTTAGAACTGTCTACAACAGTGGCTCTCAGACTTTTCATACCATCTCCAAAGAAGAGATCTGGCTTTTCGAGTATCACCAGATCTAAACCAGGTCTATAACAGGATTATTCTAGGTCTTATCTAGGATTAAATCAGGTCTAAAAACAAGAAATCATCCAAAAAAGGACACGAGATTTAATAAATAAGGCAAACCCACAGACTGAAGAGTGAGTGAATGCTTTGATTACAGTGCGGCAGGAAAAAGTGATTTAATTAATTAGTATGGTTTGGTTTCAAATTTGTACATGCTCACATTTTACTACTTAGGTCATGTTTATGAAATTTAACATCAATCTGTGCCCCGTTACAAGGTAAATGTGCAAATCAAATATAGCTTTTAGTGATAACAGTTGCAATGCTGATTTATTCTTAGTTAGAAAAAACATCAGAAATAATGGCCAAGTTGTTTATTTTATGTTTTGGTTCTCAAGATAAAGCAGAATGAGCCTCACACGAGTCTCACTTGTGTTGCCAGTTTCAATGCTGAAATCCAGTGTATTTAAACCTAAAATGTCTCTGATCTGAACGGTCACTCCCTAAACCCCAGCACCTGCACCAGGCATGAGTCAGTGCTAATGCAGCCTGTGCAGTTCAGGGAGAAAATTCTGGAGGTTCTGAGCTTTCACATGAGGACATGGTTTAACATACTGAGAATGAGACACACTTGGATGTGTCCTTGATCTGCAACATCTGGCAACACAGGTTCAGTTGTAATTGTACTAACCTCTTAAAACCAGTAGACTGCAGGCTACATGCAGCTCCTTTAAAGTGATATGTCACTCAGGCCCTTTTCTATTTCTCCCAAATACTTTTAACTTATACTCTCATACTCATATGTACTTTTTAATTTTGAGTAATATTTACACATATTGATTTTTGTGGTGGAAGGTAAGTATTTTTAAAGCACTTTTCACAGACATTTTTGTCTCTAAGATGCTTTACAGAGCATTATTCATTCACTCTATACCAGGTGATGGTAAGATACTATTGTAGCCACAGCTGCCCTGGGGCAGACTGACGGAAGCACAGCTGCCATGCCAATCAGCACCATCGGTCCCTCCAACGACCACAACCAACACTCACTCACACACACACACACACACACCACTTTCATACTAGGCAATGTGGGTGAAGTGTCTTGCCTAAGGACACAGTTATTGCCACTGTCACCCCACTGTGTCACCTGATTTTCCCAGCGGTCTCCCATCCAAGTACTAACCAGGCCCAGCCTTGTTTAGCTTCTGAGAGCTGATGGGATCAGGCTTTTACAAGCCGGTACGGCCACGTAAGTCCAGGTAAGTTTAATGTGAACACTGCAGGCAAAACAACATCTCCATGGAGACAAACAGAAGGCAGACTGTCTTCTAGAAAAGTTAGGTAAAGGAAGGAGCAGGCAGAGGCGTGAAGTTTGAGATGTTTTTTACTGTACATGATGTGAGCAGAGGAGCAGATATGAACAACACAAGCCCAGAACATGCAGAAGACTGGAGACATGCAACCGCATCCTCCCAACCCCCAAAATACCCCCAAAATACCCTCCCAAAATACCCCACTCTAACACAAAATGCCCCATAAACTGTAAATATAAGTCCCATATCATGTTTGTACAGTGGAACTCAAATGTACACATGCGTCATTCCAGTGTCCGGTGCATTCAGAAAACACCACAAAAGAATACATCCAGAATTGTAATATGGAAGTCTGTACAACGTATTCATCTCATGTTGTCTCTACTCAAAATTCTTGTGTAAAAATGACTCTCTTCAGACTTAACATTTTGCATATTTTCAGCTCCTCTAGTGGGAGCACTCCAGAAAGTGGAAAGTGAGTGATCAACACTACACTGGTGCGCAGAAGTTTGGAGACAGGAGCAGACAGGAGTATTGACATGAGCGATAAATTCTGTGACAAGGATCTTGACTGAAGAGTTTAAAAGATTCAGTATAATCATACAAATTTAAGAAGCAACTACATTTGCAATGTAACAAATGAGTGAAAAGGTACTGAGAAAGCTAGAATCCACTTAAAAGTTACTATTACATGATCAACAATAAGCAAAGATTTCTTTTAAAGAGGAGGTATTTGACATCTATGATGTATTAACTGTAACATATCACATATTTAGATCTTCAGGTTAGCTTTTATAGTTTTGAAAATGTTTCAGTTTTGTTTTGGATGCTTTGAGCTCTTTCTCTTTGCTCCCCCTTCAGAGCACTGATCACACTACAATTAGTGTGCATTTCACTAATAACAATACCTCACAATGCATCAGGGTTCTGAAGTTGTAGTGTATTTCTATTGTTTTCTATCCTGTTTCTGTATATTTATGGAGAACTACTGCAAACTGTAAGGAGGGTTTGAACAGCATGAACATCTGGAACGTCGTCACGCGTGTTTTTGATGAGGGAATGTTATAACATGGCAGTGAGCTTAAAAATAAAATGAGCAAAAAACTCCCTCTTTAGAAAAAGTATTTCTCACTACAGTGACAATGATTTACTCCTGTCTGCTTCTCCAAACTAACAACAAATACAAATAAAATATTTTGCATTTCATTTGTACAAAGTGTTTTTTGTGTCCAGACTGGTCAGAGTAGTTGTTATTTTGCTCATGATATCCTCAATGCATTGTCTTGTTGCAACTGAATTCTATGCTTTATGGATGTTCTAAAAATGTGTTCAAAACTAAATTTCATTTGGCTGTGAAATGTGAAACTTAGTGTCTTAAAAATAGTTGGTGCAGTTGCTAAAGTTCAGGTTTGGAGTGTTGCCTTTGGGACATTCTTAATCTCAGCTCTAGATCTCATGTGTGGGTTACATGTTTGTGTCTGCTCACGTTTCTCCTTTCACCTGTCTCTGTGTGGAAGCCCCTGTACAAAAGAGGTAGAGCGTGTGGTTACTTTCAATTTTGGAACATTTTAAAGGAATTTGGAAATTTGGGCAGTTTAAACATTTGATACTAATATAATAATCTAAAACCAACTTATGTACAGTGCAGCAGGATGCTCTTAGTGTAAACAACACAATTGTACTAGATGTCCACAAACACACCACGGCACGAGGAGGATCAGAAAGTCTATGTGAGAGTAGAAAGGGTTAAAAAAGACACTCTTTGAGCTCCTCTGCGAACAGAGCGCCCCCTGGTGGTCAATGCCAGTGCATGCTCCAGCTGAAGGAAGAGGAGCATCCAGACGTGTGCAGCGTCCAGGTGATACAATCATTCTGCCTGGACAGGAGGTCCAGTGTGACAATATTAGGTACACCTTCTTTTTCACAAACAGGTAGAGCTGAAGTCAGGAGTGCAGAGTCAGACGGACAGGACGGCCTACTGAGAGGAGAGAGTCATGACTTAATCTAGATTTACGTTAGCCTTCATCACTGGAGCCCTCCACACACGAGCACAGTGGTCATCATTTACATGCACTGGATATACATCACCTTTCCACAGACCCGAAGCTCTGCCCTCACCTCACACTCACTGGTGGTGAGATAATACTGTGGCCACAGCTGCCCTGAGGCAGACTGACTGAGGTAAGGCTTGGGTTTCCCCCATCAACCCAAAACATGCACATCCAGCTAAAGAAGTCTTGACCAAGACTAGCTCAAGATCTGGAGATGAGTCTGAGCTCCGTACTGTGTTGCTCACTGCTCAGGATGGGTCAAATGCAAAGGACAAATGTCAATGTGGGGACAATAAAGTGGACCTTAACCTTAATCTCTGTTAGTCCTGGTTTAGTCCTGGTTAAATCTTCTGGGTCAGGAAGTCTGCCACATCACCACAGATCTGACCAGGGGGATTATTAGTTGAGAGCAACAGAGGTGGAAGGTTCTTCTGTGCTGTACTTTTCCATCAGCCATGACACTCAGAATCATGTTTTGGGATTTCCAAATATTATTATATTATATGTTCTTGAGAGATCCACGTGTATCAGGTGAGGTGTACCTAACATGGCCTCACAGCTCCTTGGAGCAGACGGGGTGGCAGAGGAACAGTCCCATAGCACTCAGTCTGGAAGAGCTCCTCACAACCAGAGTCAGTGTGGTCCAAAACAACTCACTGTAGGATCTGAGAGAATTTCATCCAATCATAAGAAGAATATGAACAAAACAAATCTAAAATGAACTGAACAGGATCACATTTAAATGACTTGTACCTGATTTTTCCCCATGCATTGGAGCAAAACGTGTCTTGCCTCGGCACAGATACTGTATATTGTAAAATCAGCTGTTGAGGTCAAAATATGTCTGTGTGCACTGTTTGTGTTTAATTGGAAAGAGCTGTGTCTAATAATCAAGAAGTGTGCATTAGCATGATAGTTGTTGTTAGCTAACTGTTTTAAATGAACTATGTCTGTTTTTCACATTTTTTAAAATCAGGTACAGTGCCTTTAAAGTGTTCATCTAGACTGTTCTATGATCCATCTAGAATTTGAATCTAAAAGAGATTTGGTGACTTATAAAATGGGGTCCTCTCTTGTATTAAACCAGCAGCTTCTTCTGAGTTATTTACATGTCTAATAATCATTCAAAAGTCCATATTTAGCAAAGTTCTGTACAACATGTGCTTCTCATGATTGTGGCAGTGCGCTGTGCCGTGCAG